ATATATTAACTTTGTTCATGCCTCTATTAATGAATTGGAATTTGTGAATATAACAATTCAGCTCTTTTTCTTTCTATTCATACTTTTTTGTTTCAGAACTGTTACTTGCAAATCCCATATTGTATGTCCAGGAGAGTTTAAATGCTCTGCAAATTTTTTTTTAATGTTACCATTTCTAATATCAGATTTGTATCCATTTCTCCTCTTGCATGGAGAATATCCATTTTGTCCAACAAAATATATATGCTGTCAGTTACAAAACTAAAGTCTTTTCTGGCAGTTCCTATTTCACTAGAGCATAGATGTGTCCCCTCAGAGTTTGTGTGACTACATTTTCCATCATGTCAGACCATTGGCTATACTACCTGAGTGGTTGAGAACAGGAGTCCACCAACATCTGGAGGGCTAATGGTTCTCTACACCCTGGTTTAAAACGTACCACTAACAATGCGGTTAAAATCTTCTGAAACTCTTCATCTGTCATACTTCCATTGGTTGTGGTTAAATTGTCAGTCTTCTTAAACGTAAGTGTATTCCTGTCAAAAGCAAACCATCCCTACTGATAACCTGCTAGTCTCCCAGTGGGTAGGAAGATTGGAGATCAGTGCTCAAAATTTCATGTGTGTGGAGGCTGCCTGGTAAACTTTATATTAAAAAAAGAAGCAACAGGGTTGATTTCTGGAAAGTATCTCTAGCTCAAATTAAGTCACAGATCATGTTATTGGAGTGATAGGACCAGGAGATGAAGAAGCAGATTCTGAGAATGAGAGTGTTTGTGATGTCTCTCTGAAGGAGTGTTAGGCAAGTATAGCAATTAGTAGTACATGGATGGAGAATATATGACCCTTCAAACACCCTAACTCAAATGCAACAAAATCTAAAATCCACAAAAGAGTGATAGCTTTGTTGGCCAATCAGAATGCACAAAATACAACATGCACGTTTTTGAAGCTTCACTGACTTCTTCATCAAGCAAAGATGATTAAATACCATACAAGAGTAGAACATTGATGATGGTAGAATCACAGACCTACATTTTGTATCACATTTTGTTTCTATTGCAGTTCAGTTGTTCAGGAGGAATCTCAATGCATGCAAATGCCACTTCCTCTCTTGGCCATGTAGGGACCAGAAACTAAAGGCAATAAACTTCCAACCAACAGATAAATGACTTCTCTTGAGACACAGGTTGTCCTTGTCCTACAAGAAGCTAACTACTCCTTTCTTAGACAGGGACGTTGAATTTCTCAAGAAGTACCTAACCCAGAGTCTGGAGTGTTGTAGGCAATTTTCAAATAACATTTGGTGTTACTCTCTTCATACCCTTGTCATACCCAACCTGGCTGAGGACTCAGTAGAGGAGTCTGACTGAGACTGAGCTTATCCCTAGACTGAGCCTGAGCTTATCCTTAGGAGTCTGACGTGAGCCTGAGCTTATCCCTAGTTCTGCCCTGACAATACCAACAGAGACTGCTACCCAAGAGGATGGCCATGAGCCCAGTGTCCAGGCAGCAGAGCCCCCTGGCAATGTTGACATGGAGGAGGAGGAGACGGAGACCAATTTACCTCTGCCTTCCTACAGTGAGAGGAGATCTGAAAGGGCAGGGCTTCAGCGGTCTCAGAAGCTTTGAATGAGACACCAAGCAATTAAGGAACAGCGGCATCAGTGAGGGCTGAGGATAAACGTCTGGGAGGAATGCCAGAACCTTTACCAAAGGTTAACTGATTCCCCTGGTGCAAGTACCTTGTTCGTGAACTCTCTTCTTGTCTTCTTGGTTTAGACCTGTGGATCTTGAAGTGACCGTTCTGTTTTGCTGGAATCCTCAATCCTTTTTGGACTTCTTGACTATGCTGGCTGTTTTACCCTTTGGCTTGAATCTGGACTGATCATGGACCTTGCTTTTGGAATTCTGCCTTTTGCTTTGTAAGTCTGCAATTGAAGACTTTATTACTACACACGTTGTGTTGTGCTGTTTTGTTTTGCTTGTCTCTACCTTATTTTGGGGTTTGTTATCAGCAGCTGGCTCCTTTCCCAGATAACCCTTACCAAGGGTATTAGTCATTATGTATTGCATGTTAACTTACAAGTAACTAATAGACCATTTCAAACCAAATAGCCAAGTCTGTAAAACAACATTTCCTAACTGGGCACTTCCTAGCTTTACTCAAGCTCATCCACAACAATGGTCCATGCTGGCTGGTAAGTAGTGGAGTTGTTGTTCAGCAGTGTATGGACGGACTCAGTTTGAGGAAGGCCTCAGACAACATGTTAACACATCTTGAATAATTGTGCAAACAGACCAAAATCAAGGGAGTTTTAAATAATATAATTTGGATACTTACCTTAGTTACTATCATAACTAGGTAAATGGGTAGGCAACTACAGAGGCCCTTTCACAACACACAAGTATAATACTCTGGTTCCCCTTTAATTGCCATGGCACTATCCTATGGAGTCCTGGAATTTGTAGTCTACCATTTAGAATGTGTATGCTAGAGATGTTCTCTAGCTAAGAATTGTAAATACCTCTCCTTAAATTTACTAAAATTCCAAGATTCTATGAGAAGTGAAAGTGTGGGAGTTAAAGTAGAATCCTGTTGCTATAATTTGTGTCAGGCAAAAGGTCCCTTAGTTGAATATTAAAGTTGCTAACCAAGGTGGTCAATCCTAACCCACACGTTTCCCTCTTCTATGTAAAATCCAGGGATCTTCTCCCTTTTTTTATTTAAAATTTAAATTACCAAAAATACAAAGAAAGAATAAGTCACATCAGAGTTTAAGGGGAGTAAATCAGGGGCATCTTTGAGAGAAAGATATCCTATCACAGAGACCCCATATTACACTAAAACCCACAAGTTATTTCCCACTTATGTCAAACATAAGGTAAACCTATCATGGAGTTTTCTTGACAAGATTTGTTCAGGGGAGGGTTGCCTATGCCTTCTTCTCAGGATGAGAATGTGTGAAGTGCCTAAGGCCAACCAGTGGGTTTCCATGGCAGAGCGGGGGTTCTAACCCTGGTTTCCAGAGTTGTAGTCCAGTGCTTAGACCACTATGCCACACTGGGTCCCCGAAAAAGAACCATATATTCATCACTTTGAAAATAGTTTTGGAAATCAGTAAGCCATCAAACAGCTTGCTTCTCCAAAACAAGGCAAACTCTTCTTGCTCAATTCTAGCCCTTTCTGAACTATTTATTTTCAAATGATATTTCCCCCTTTTGTTCTTCTAAGAAGTCCACAGAGCCACAAGCCTCTTGGCTTTTTTCCACTTCTACTTACCACTCATAATAATATTATTGGATAAATGAGCCAGTACTTTTCCTATTATTTTGGGTAAGATTTCATATCCCATCAGGGCATTTGAGGACTAAAAAAATCCTCTTATTTTTATTTGAAATACATCCTTGATACAGAACATTTCTCTATGAATTAGTCTTTTGTCTTACCAGTGTTATTATTAGGAGGTGCTGAAAACTCACGAAATCCTATGAATAGGAAGCAGTATGATCTTTTTGCTGGAGTGGTTGGCAGATATTCAATTTATTGTAGTCAAAGGAAAATATGGGTGGCTTCAGAAGATGGAGAAAGAATGCGGTGCTATAGATAAATAATTCAGTGGCTCAAGTGGTTAAGACACTGACTCTGTTGCAAGGTTGGCAGTTTGAGGCATGGATGCTGCATGATAGGGTGAGCTCCTTTCACTAGTCCCTAGCAGTTCAAAAGAATGCAAATGCAAGTAGATAAATAGGTACCACTTCGGTGGGAAGGTAAACAGCATTCTGTGCAATCAAGTTGGCCACATGACCACAGAGTAGTCTCTGACAACGCTGGCTCTTCGATTTAGTAACGGAGATGAGCACCACCCACTATGGTCGGACACGATTTGACAACCTTGTCAATGGCGAAAACCTTTACCTTTTTATAGATTGATAACCCATATATATTAACTAGAAACAATACCTGATCTCACAGATCACATAGGACTTTATAACACCAGCCAGCTGTCCTGCCACATTTGTGCCTGTTTTATTATTATTATTATTATTATTATTATTATTATTATTATTTATATCCCGCTTATATGATAAATCAATCTAAGCAGCTTACAATTAAAACAGTACAAAATGTCCCCGTAAGGAGATTATCTCATTGCTTTTAAAGTGCCCTATCCCCAGTGGGATAAAGACGCATTTAATTTTAAAACTGGGTGTTATCCCAACCACACTTATCCAATGGCTTTTCAAAAACGAGATCTTGCCAGGTTGCATTCGCCCAGCCACTGGTGAGTGTGATAACACCCAGTTTTAAAATTAAATGTACCTTTATCCAATTGAGGATAAGGTGCTTTAAAAGCAATGCAATAATTTCCTAAGAATGGAAGCATATCAGTTTTCCATCATCTCTTATTACACTTTCCCTCATGAAAACACTTTGACAGTCCATGGTTGTGTGATCTCCTTCTGCACTGCCAAGGGCTGCCTTCCAGGAAGAAATGAGGACAAATGGTCATAGTTGCCAACCACTTCCTGACGCTGGATGCTGTGCTTATGTGCACACAGCAGCTGACTTTGGGAAGATGTTGACCATCATGATCACTGCCCCCCTCCTGAAGTGTAGAGCTGTTGTGTGTTCATTCACACAGCAACCCTGTGTGATTGCCATTGAGCCAACCACCTCTCAAAACCAGCTGGCTTTGGGAATATGTTGGCAACAACAATTGCTGCAAGGAGGAGGGGAGGAGACAGAGAGAGGAGCAGAATCATGCCCATTCACATCATGTGACTGCCTGAGAACCAGAACTGCAGTGGAAGGGACCTATTGTACAAAGGCAGTAGTGGAATAGCAGCAAGACTGAGACCCTATTGATAGGTTTTGCGCAACAATAAAAAGGTACCGTACAGTAATGAATGAAATGCAAGGCAGCAGCAGGATAGACAGGACGTTCTGTGATACGTACAAGCCAAAGACACTTTTATCCTCTTAAAATTCCATTTTTATACCCTCATGTGATTAAGTCCCTAATATGAAGACTCACTGAGACGAGAAAGAGGGAACATGTGGCCCTCCAGAGGTCATTGGATTGCTATTCACATAATCTCTTGCCACTAACTTTACTGACTATGGCTGATGAGATTGTACTCCAACAACATCTGAAGCTCCCCCAGACAGGGAAAATGTATCAGGATAACAAGATTGTTGCTGTAGTTGGATTATCTACTACATCAGTAATTGTTGCTGTAGTTCTCAAAATTTATTTTTTAAAAAAAAATATCCAAACAACATTTCTGTTGTCCTAGGGGCAAAGCACAAGACCAATCCAGCCATGATTAACAACCACACAGCCCACTTCCACAGTGAGCCACAGCCACGGTTCCAAGCTGGCCACCACAAGGAGCCAAATTATTTCCATTCCTTTTTGATCCAGTCCAAAGGACCAGAATGTGGCATCATAGCGGCTTCTGGCTGCTTTGGGGGCGTGTGTTGTTTGAACACCATGCCCCCACAATGGCTAGAAGCTGCTTTATTTGGCCCATGTGTTTTAAGCCTTAGATTACTTTCTGGCAATTCTCAGCACCAACTGCAGTGGTTTGTACCCAGCCTTATGTGGGTTTCCTTTTAATTCTGATACAAAAAGTATCCTTCACTCCTTAAAAAGAAGTAGACTTATGGTATATCAGTGCATCAGTGAAATGGCACTTTTGCACTACAGTGTGCCTGCCTACAGCTCCATTTTTTAAAAAGAAATCAGAGAGGAGAAAATTTATTCTTCAAATCACAGGACCACCTTAGTAAACCATTGTTGTTGTTTTTAACTGCCTTCACGTCAATCTTGACCCATGCCGACCTTATGGATGAGACATCTCCAGGCCCTCCTGTCCTCTATTGCTCTGCCTAGCTCCTGCAAACTCATATTTGTGGTCTCTTTAATAAAGTCCATCCATCAAGCATGTGGCTTTCCTCTCTTTCTACCACCTTTCCTAACATTATTGTCTTTTCCAACACTTCATGCCTTTTCATGATGTCTCCATGTGTTGTCATCTTAGCTTCTAGGGATATTTCTGGCTTGATCTGCTCTAGGACCCATTTGTTTGTCCTTTTGGCTGTCCATGGAATCCTCAGGACTCTTCTCCAGCACCACATCTCAAATGAATTGATTTTCCTCCTATCTTCTTTCTTGACTGTCCACCTCTCACATCCATACATGGTAATAGGCAATACAGTGGCTTGTATGATTCTAACTTTTGTACTAAGTTGTATGTCTTTGCATTTTAGGATCTTTTCTAGTTCTTTCATAGCCACCCTCCCCATTCTTACAGTAATCTTCTGATTTCTTGGCTGCAGTCCCCAGTCTGATCAATGCTTGATCCCGGGTATGAAAACTCTTTTACTATTTCTATTTCCTCATTGTCTAGTTTGAATGTATGTAAGTTCTCTGTGGTCATTATTTTTGTTTTCTTTATGTTCAACAGTAAGCCTGCCCCATTAAAAAAAACCAAAAAACCTTCAGTAGAGCCCTAGTGCAGACCTAAGAAATCGCTATAAAGAGCCTCTCCCTCAAGATGCGGAGATTACAACAACCACACAGATCTAACAAACCCTAAGGACCTCTATCACAAGAACTCATGCTTCTTTAGGTCAATCTGGAAGGTCAGATGCTGGATTGGCAAGGGTAGGGCAATGGGAGCTACTAGGTACCACTTATGTCATCCTCTGTCCCTGTTCAAATACATCTCAAAACAAAGAAGTGGTGGCAGCAGGAAGACCAGCCAATTCTGGGAAGAAGCTTGCATTCACCAGATAGGCTAGGAGCATCAACAGTGCTAGCATCTGTGTTTGGCATACTTTAAACTATGGGTGCATCTACTCTGTAGAAATAATGCCATTTAACACTACATTAGCTTCATTTTACATAGTCCTGGGATGTGTAATTTTGTGAAGCACCAGCAGTGGTGTAACTGGGCAGGAGCAGGGGGTACGAACCTCAGCAAGTAGCACCCCACAGCAGGGATGACGCCCTGGTGGAGTCCTCCTCCTGCTGTAATAGAGGGACAAGCCCGCACCTCATGGCTTCACTGCAGCCTGGTTCTCATTCTGGGGAGGGAGCCAAGACAGTAGCAGCAGGGTGAGTGCACCCTTCATGGTTTTGACATCATTCTGGGGAGCCCAGTGGCAGCAAAGGCAATGGAGGTGTGAACATGACCCTCATGGCTTTGTCACCATCCTGGCTCTCTCCCTAGGGAGGGAGCTGGCCAGAGACAAAGCCATGATGGGTGAGCCATGGGTGGGGGGCATGGCAGGCTGCTGCCACCACTCCGGTCTCTGCATTCCCCCCCCCCCCCGGCATCAGGTGTCACCAAGCCTAGCAACATCAAAGGACACCACCACTCTGGGGTATTTCCTTTTTCTTTTTTTATTAAATATATTTTAAAAACTAACATTACAAACTATATACATACAAACAAACAAACACAAGAAGACTCAGATTTAAACAAATAATGGTTAAACACAAATATTTGCATTCTTAATTATCATAATAATCTTCTATATAATTGAACTTCCTTAGCAATTGCTGTCATCATCATCAAAAGAGAATTACTTAATTTTCCTCAATATCACTTTTAATACTTGTATCTCTATGATTTTCTATTTTTTTTCCTGAAGATATAACAAAAGTTGTCTTGTATATTTGTCTCCATTTTAACCTTCAAACTAAAACAAAAAAAGTTATCCCTTTATGCCAATTTAATTCTTTTATTTTTTTTTCTTCTATAAAGGCCTTAAGACACTTCCAATATTCTTCGATGTTTTTCCTTGGTTTATCTCTCATCAGGGCTCTTAAAATATCCATGTTCATGGCTTCATAGAGTTTCTGAATCCATTCTTTATCTGCTGGGGTTTCTTGTTTTTTCCAATATTTGGCATAAAGGATTCTCACAATTGTAACTATATATAGTATAATTCGTAAAAAATTCTTTTGCATCTTGGTTTTTAAGCTGCTTGTCATATTTAACAAAAATAGAAGTGAGTCAAAAGAAATGTTTATTTGTAAGATCTCTGACATTAG